TTACAAAACCATTCCAAACACGATCCACGTAGATTCGCCTATAAACTTCGCGATCTTTTTGGCACCGGATACAAGGTTACCCTTCCTTTAAATTATCCAATACTTCCCAGTGAATCGCATCCTTAACTACACAACTTAATCTCCGGTCCCCGAGTAAATTGTTTAAATACATTGACTCAAAAACGGAGAAAACATCTCAATAACAACACTGAGACGTAACACATAAAAGAACCGATTGTTACGTCGGATTCACTTAATTCTATATCACGCAAATTATCGTACGAACATTTACACTTTCCCTTAGCCGAAGACGTTTATGAAACGTCCAATGAACCTCTTGAAATATTAATTAAACAGTCGTTGCAATCGCACTTCGTGAGAAGTTGCATGATCAACTGGGGCTGCTGGGACAAAAATATGTAAACATGTTTCTTGATGGCGACAAAGAGAAGATCGATAACGTTTATGGTATATCTCAACGAGAACGACACGATGCTCGGCGATAAACAGTTTGATTTAGACACGAATGATTTCGTGATCGTAGATGGAGTAAAGTACAAAGGTATATCTGGATTGAGGGAATTAATTTTCAAAACTATTCCCGACGACACTATTTACGCAGAGAATGATAAAGCATATAAAAGTACTGTTGGCAACGAAATGATCATAGGTGCATTCATAAAGTGGATAATCCATTAATGGGTGGCAAAGGGTACAAATATAAAAATATAGTAACACCTTTGTGTCAGGTAAAATACAAGTTGGAACGGGCATACCACGCATCAGGAACTAAACAAGTTAGGTAAAAAAAGTCGGAAAAGATGTAATACCGCGTGCCATGACTTTAAAATAAAATCGATTATGTTCATTGGGATGATCCTAACGAACTTGTGAATCGTCTTCGATTGCTTGAAACTTCGCATCAGGCAGGTCATAATGCCTACGATAATGAAATCTTATCTATCGAGGAGCTTTGTGAAGCTGACCTTATTATAAATTGAAACGGAGATACGCGGTAATTTTAGTCAACGTCGAAACGTCGATCAATAACGTTTGCGTAAAATCTCTGTAACATTTTTTGCATCATATTAGGTGTTGGAATTAATTCGTAGCGTTTTACAAGAGATGGCACAAGCAGTACACTATTTCGTTGTTACCTATAGTTCTGTATACATTGTAAACATCTATCATAAGACGTCATTTGCCGTACATAACCTTTCTTGAAATCATAAATAACAATACTGTATAATTCATTGAATATGTCAAAATTTGTGCCAGATAAAGTGTTTTTGCGGGGAGTTTTGCTTCATTACTTTAATATGAACAAAAGTGCAGCTGAAGCTCATCGTATTTTAGTGGATGTGTATAGTGAACATTGATCCAGAAGGAAGGCCATTGGGTCCCATATGAATTGAAACCAAGGGATATTGAGAGACGTTTTCTCACGTGCGAACTGCTGCTTCAACGGCAGAAAAGAAAAGGTTTTTTGCATCGGATTGTTACCGGTGACGAAAAGTGGATCCATTATGACAATCCAAAGCGCAGAAAGTCATGGGTTAAGCCCGGCGAACCATCAACATCAGTGGCAAAGCCCAATATCCATGGCTCAAAGCTCCTGCTCTGTATTTGGTGGGATCAGAAGGGTGTCATATACTACGAACTGCTAAAACCGCATGAAACCGTTACTGGAGATCTCTACCGACGGCAACTGATGCGCTTGAGCCGTGCATTGAAGCAAAAACGGTCGGAATACTTCGAAAGACACGATAAAGTCATCTTGCTGCACGACAATGCTCGCCCACACGTTGCAAAACCGGTAAAAACATACCTGGAAACACTTAAATGGGAAGTGCTACCGCACCCGCCGTATTCTCCTGATATTGCACCTAGCGACTACCACTTGTTTCGATCATTAGCTCATAGCTTGTGCGAGCAGAAGTTCACATCTTACGAAGATTGTACAAAATGGTTCGATTCCTGGATTTCATCTAAAGATGAACAGTTCTTCCGACGCGGTATTCATTCACTGCCCGAAAGATGGTCAAAAGTAGTAGAAAGTGATGGGAAGTACTTTCATTAATGTATTTTTTAATGCTCATGTGAAATAAATAACATTCTTTCATTTAAAAAACGCTACGAATTAATTCCAACACCTAATATATTACGACAAAAAATGTCTGATGAAAAGTCTTGAAAAGTGGTGACTGGTGGAAGAACTGCACGTTCAAGAAAAAATTTTCCAGACATGTCATAGTTTACGGATACGATAACCTGTGGCAGGCTGATGTGGTCGAAATGCGCCCTTATACACGATTCAACAAATATACTACTACATTCTTACCGTGTTGAGTAAGCATGCATGGGCTGTACCGCTCAAAACAAAAAGTGAAGTGAGAGGGCTACAACGATAAAGTAAAGTAAATTCGAGACGATAGGAGATGCCCGAAAAATTTGCAAACCGATATGGGAAAAGAATTTTACAACACAAACATGCAAAAACTTTTGAAAAACATAATATAAATCAACATATTCCGTAATGAAGGCGTCGGTCAAACGGTTCAATTGTATATTAAAAAACGATATGTGGAAATAATTTACGCATAATGGAAATTACAAATGGACTTGCTATCTCGTGTCAGAGTACAACGCACGAAAATATTGAATTATTGGTATGCGACCTATATCGATGTGACTCCCACAATCATCGACAAACTCTTAAACACGGTGTACAGTAGCGTAAAGGCCGTCGCACTCCCGCGATTCAAAGTGATTGCGTGACTCGGTACGTGTGAGCAAATTCAAGACGATCTTTGAAAAAGGTTAAACGCCAAATTGGACCATGGAGATATTTAGAATCATCAAAGTACAGAAAACTAATATCACGATATATCTTCTAGAAGATTATCATGGAAAATTGGTCGTTGGAGGATTCTACGAGTTGCATCGCGTTGCTAATCGTTGCCCACGCGATGTCTAGTTGAAAAAGTGTTGTGCAAAAAAGAAAATGATGTTTACGTAATGACTGGGATTTGGTAATTCGCACAATTCATGGATACACAAGGCCACTGTGTTACAAATAAATGTATTTCTACGAATTATATATCAGTATATATTTATTACAATATGCAAACATGTAACTGAAATTTTTTAAAATTAAAAATACATAATATGAACACAAAAATTAGTTTTTTTTATTACAAATACATAAGTGTGTAGAAATGAAAATTCGTTTTTCTTATTTATTTTCATAGTAATATTTTATAATGTCCCCATGAGTGTCTATAGAATCTAGCACAATGTATCGTTTGTCATTGTACGGACTTAGAGCAATTTTCGTTTCCGATGTCATGCAATTTCGATTTTATGCACGATTGCCTGTGCTTCATTTCGATTTCGTTATTTAGACATCGCATGTAATCAAATGTTATCGATCTCGCTGTAACATAATTTTTAAATCCTTTTCCTTTTTCCCATCGAGGCGCAAGGCGTACATTTTTGGTCTAAGCCCGATGAATTCGGTCATTATCGTACCATTGTTTTCATCTTTCATTAAGCTCGGAACTTTTTTATTAGCGAGCGGAATACCGTACGCATTGTTGCTAGTGTTGAATCGATCGATATCGCGTTTCAAAATATAGTAGACGTTGTCGCATTATTTATATTTACTCCCTGTAGTAAATAAGACTGTCCGTATCAGTGTACATGACTTTACAATTTTCGCGAAACAGCGATTTGTACTTGTAATGAAATTCTTACAAACATGTCTTGGATATATCGAAGATACACATACGATTTGTCGAATTTCATCTCAAATTACTTCTATCGCGACTAGAGTCTCAGAAAAAACGCTTCTACTATGAAAATTTGGTTTTGTGTCATTGCCTCCGCACCGTATCTCCCGTCCCAATGCGTTACAAGTCGCACGTCGACGTGGTTGTGCATATTCTCCATGGTTTTAACAAATACAGCATTATTTATTAATTTATACACATTTTTTTCAAACTCGTTGTTGGAAAGAGTTCTAAAATTCGTATTGAATTCGATGTATTCGCGAAGCCATAGAGATTGCGCGAATTGCAACAAGCGGTAAATTTTTACGATATTGAAATCGTGACGAGTATATTGTTGTAGATTACGATAATGAATTACGTAACGCTCTATCACGCTCTACAACGTAGCGAGGAGCTTCTTCTCTCGCTTATCGGGTGATTTCTCGTGCATCGGACAGAATGGTAGGTCTATGTGAGCGTTATGAAGATATTGCGAATACTCCAAGTCTACCTCGAGAACGGGGGTACCAAGTCTAACTTATCGGTGAATCTGTCGCGATGATCGTAACATCAAAATTGTTTACATCGTCGACCCATCGAAAATCGGCGTATGATAATGGTTGACACATTGTCCAACCGTATAGGTTGTTAACGTTAAAGTACATAAATCAAAGTACATATGTCGAGTTTCGATGGTGGATCATACGACTGCATGTACTTGTTGTTAGACGACTTCTGACTCTCTACTTGTTCTGAGCCTTGATCTGTTAGGTTCAGACCTCCACGTTCGATGAACATGACCATATCGATGTTCCTAAGAAGTTCGAATTTTACACGCGTATGTTTCAACATCGCATCCCATGTAAATCCGGTAGTGCATAATAATACGCGGGGTTGAGCCCATAACTCGCGACGCAACTGTTACGGAAATTTTTGAAAATGTCGGCTAACAACAAACGTTTATCTTTAAATACAGATCGCTATATTCTCCGAGCAGGAAAACCGCTGTCACACGTTAACGACGTGCGCGTAATCGCTCTCGGATATGATATGTCAGCCATATATGTATACCTGTCAGCGAGCTATAAAATAATTCGCGCGATGATAACTCGGTTTCGTCTAACTTTTGACGCAGTCAATGTACTCGTACAGAAATATGTCTTTGCGTGTGAGAAGATCCTCTGCGCTGAGGATTGAAATTTATCACATCATCTCGCGTAAAATCCATGGGAACGTTAGTGGACAACATAGTCTTTATTTTATACGCTAAGTTTTTAAATTCCTCGGCGAACCATGCGATGCAATCGTTTCCATGACAAAACTTAAATGTACACAACAAATCGTCGTACGAACAGTGGACATAATATGCTAAACTAAATCCCCGTTAATGCTGGTACGTGTAGCTGGACGTTTCGTATCTCTCTCCGTCTTTTCCAGGGTGTATTCTAGGTCGACATAGACTATGAACGGGATACGTTCCTTTCTGATGTAGTTGCCAAAGCTCAACCACTTCGCTCGGTAATCTGATGGCACAGTCGTTTAATTGTTCGCATTCTACTGCGTGGATCTCCAGTTTTGTTTAAGCTAAAATAGTGTAAGCATCTGAAAAAAGAACATATAATTTATTAACATTACTTTAAATACGAAGCGCTACTACATGTCTGAATGTTGAGATGTTGAACTATTATACAATATACTCATATAAATGAATTAATTTCAGAAATTGCATGCCGATATGGTTGTCGGACTTTCAACATAATCAATCTGAAATATTAATAATCCCAAATTTCCTAAATTAATCTTAAAAAACTGTAATAAACTTATTGCGAAAAATATTGCCTCGGCCGGGAATTGAACCCGGATCTCTTGCATTCCATATCTCGGTAGTCTAAAGGCTCAGGACACTCGCATGGACACTCATCATTATTCCCACGCAAAAAATTTTCGCGCATTCAACTTAGCAGCTTGTATCAGATTACGCTCTGTTTGCTTCATATTATAATATCCTCTTTTTCGCAGTCTTTTTATTAAAAAAGCTTTGAGAAAATATATACTTTTAGTCTGTTTTTGTATCTTTGACAAAGCTTTCACAACACCTTGTATCATTGTGGATACATGTTACACAGCATTATTTAATAAAGGAAACCTTTGCATTCCGAACAGGAATAACCTTTGAGAATCACATACGTCAATATCATATTTTCGAATAGCATGAAGACTTGAAAATTGATCGTTCTTAGGATACATGATGAGCAATATCTTCCATAATCATCAGTGTAGAGCTCAATGCAGCACATCTTTTTCACAGGATGTAAGATATTTATTTCGTCAATCAATTATATCGTCAAGGCAATTATATCGTCATCGTTTTTCATGTCACTGCCGAAATACGAATCATTTGACAGAGCATGATCTTCATCGGACATTTTCTGGTTAAACATTTCTTCATGTTGATCATTTATTTTTTCGTCCATCACTTTATTTTCGTGAGGTGCAAAATCCATTTTTTCATTAAACATACACACACTGATATAACACCAATATACACTGATATGTTGAAGAAACTTCAAACTCGATTACTGACTGTTTTTCGTTTTTATGTACTATGGTTGTCGCGTCATTTTTTCAATATGCTGCGTGTTTTAACGTGTTTGAAAAACAATTTTATTGCAGCGATACACTAAATATTCTTATTTGAAAAGAGTATGGGAACAGATGTACGTTATTGTTAGTGTAATAAAAAAAGATTCGATTAAAAAGATATGATCAACAAGGCTCGATATGATATGAACTGTTACGTTCCGATTCAACGGGATGAAACATGCAGGGGACAGTAAGTTTGTGTTCAGCTATAAAAAATTTTGTGTACACATTTTATATATTATACATTTTTTCTACGTATCGCTTACCTTCTATTTCTTTCACAATGTATTTTCTCATTCGAAACTTCACTATACCCCTTACATTTTGGGAAGGAGACACTCATTAATGCCTGCGGCTTATAAATATTTAGATATAGATTAGGAATCAGCATAGGACTTGTATCCTATGTGGAAATTGCAATTGGTGATTCTCGAGAAAATCGGATAATCCTAACTCACACAACATGGAAGGTATTCATCGACAGATGCGAGAATATTGAGCAGCTCTGATTTGTAATTACGCCATCATCCCTAACCATTCAAGGTATGAATGTGGAATTTTGTAAACTGTATGGTACATACAAAATAAAATTATCATTACGCGATAAATTTTTGTATATGATGTCATGCTTTTTAGACTTGATCTCAAACATTGTGTCGAGCATGTATATTTAGGACTATCTCAGAATGTCTATAACACAAGTGAGAAATTTAAACATTTTATTTCATATTTACGTCAAGAATATGTTACTAATAAACGCGATGCTGTAAATATGTTGATAAATATGTTGACAATATTTGTGATAAAAGTTTCCTTATAGAATTGGGAGCATACACTTTGGCTCAAATTGTAAACCATACTTACACGAATAAAATAAAAAATGCGAATATTAAAAAATAAATATTAAAATTACATTACTCTGTATTTAAAATTATTTATTCCTTTGTTCCTTCGTCACCATTCACACCATTCCTTTGTCATACCCCGTGTATTAAATTATATATTAAATTATATATTATATTAGTTGATAAGAAGGCGCTCATTACACAACTAAAAATATTACAATTAGATGCTAGGTCATATCATTTTTAAATATTCGTCGAATAAAATATTATATCTATTTAATAAAATCGAGAAGAAAAGACAACGAGGGGGAGAATACAACGGAGGAAGAAAAGAGAGCGCGAATATGATAGGTATGGGACTGCAATGAGAGGAAGCAAGAGAGTAAGATGGTAGATATAGGACTGCAACGGGAGAAAGAGAGCGCGCGAATAATGTGATAGGTATGGAACTGCAACGGAAGAAAGAGAAAGAGAGCATGAGTAAGATGGTAAGTATTGTATAAGGTTGCCGCAATGAGTTGGAGGGAGAAAACTGCATTTTATAATGGATGGAAGAGAGAGAATAACATGACGGGCCCTGGCTCCCTCTATCGCGGGTCCTAGTGACGCCACCCCCTTCCGCGGTCCCCTTGCCCAGTGACATCAGACCCCCTCCCCTCGGCCCTCTCGCTCAATAATGTCAGCCCCCTCTCTCTCGAACTCCAAATCTAACAACGTACTTCTCTCATCCTCAGACCCGTCACCCACACACATACATATCGCGTGTACGTATGCGCACTAACACATATTGGTCTAGAACCGGCCTAGTATATCTATTTCGGTTGCTAGTTTTAATCAATGACTCAGCCCAATAATCACACGGATATAAATACTTTTTATTACTTTTTTTTACAAGAAGGAAGCAAGAATCAGAGAGATAAAACTTGAGTATTAAAAATCATTACATACGAATTACATCGAAAGTAAGAATCATTAAATTTACATTGACACATTGCACTGGACTAAAGTTTTTGCAATAGAAATGAAACTTAATATTAAATTCATAAAAACTAAAATGTATCTGTTCATAATGATTACCTTACTCTAATACTCTTCTTTAATCGATATGAACTGGATTGCAATGATCTCTTAATGCAACGTATCTAATTTTGAGTACTTGTTTTATTAACAGGTCAGCTAATATTATTTTTGTAATGACATTATATTTGTATATAATATTTTTCTTTTTTACATAAACTTTTGTATCCATATGTTTTGTTCTGCAATTGAATCTTCACTAATAATCATTTTTAAGACGCTTTGATTGTCTGCGTAAATCTTCGTGTACTTCATTTTTCTCCATTTAAAAGCATTTAAAAGTCATTGTATCCAGACAAAAAAATTCTTTATACATTTTTGAAAGCGCAATAAATTCTGCTTTCATTGAAGACGAGATAATGCAGTCTTTGCAACTCCAACTAATTGCGCTTCTAAGAATGAATATAAACCTGAATTTGACTTTCTTGATTCGTGCTTGTCAGCCCAATTTGCGGAACCGATCAAATTCTTCCTGAACATTGCCCAACTTTACGTATAATGATGAAGTACCTTTAAAATCTGAATTCATTTCTTAATTTGATTCCAATCAGTTGTGGATATAAAGGGTGTTTTTTTAAGCCCGATAGAACTTAAAATTGTAAAAACTAACACAAAAATTAAATTATAATCAAAAAATTTTTTTCAGTCGAAAGATCAATGCATGGCATTAACATTTGAAAATGATTTCGGGCATATGGCCACCGCGGCTGTTCTTGAAGCGCATTCTGGACGTCCAATTTTGAGTCACTTTTTCGAGCAGTGCTGGCCGTATGTCACGAATAACACGAACAATGTTGTCCTCCAAGGCGTCAATTGTTACTGGTTTATCAGCATAAACCAGTGACTTGACGTAGCCCCACAGGAAATAATCGGGAGGTGTCAAATCGCACGACTTTGGAGGCCAATTGACAGGTCCATTTCTCGAAATCAACTTATCGCCAAATTTTGATTTCAATAAGTCGATGGTTGCGGTCGACGTATGGCACGTAGCGTCATCCTGTTGAAACTACATCTCGTCCGGATCAATGTCATCCATATTTTCAAACAAAAAATCATTGATCATGATGCGGTAATGATCTCCATTGACCGTAACGCGAGCTCCGGCCTCATTTTTGAAGAAATAAGGTCCGATGATGCCACCAGCGTGTAAACCGCACCAAACGGCATTTTTCGGGATGTAATGGTCCTCTGTAAGGTCTCTTGTGGATTAGTCTCACTCCATATGCGGCAATTTTGCTTATTAACAAACCCGTTAAGCCAAAAATAAAAAAATCACGAAGTCGTCTATAAGTTGCGCGAATTGACGACTGATTTTCAAAGTAAATTTGGATAATTTGGTAGCGTTGTTCAAGCGTGAGTCTATTCATGATGATTTGCCAGAGTATACTGAAAGAAATAAAAAAAATTTTTTGATTAAAATTTAATTTTTGTTTTATTTTTTACAATTTCAAGTTCTATCGGGCTTGAAAAAACACCCTTTATTCTGCGACAAAATGCAAACTGTTACAGATGCTGTAATTTATTACTTTAAGATCTTTTATTTCAAAATTTGTTGTAAGTATAATAGTTTCTCGATCTCATTTACTGCTTTTATCGTATTATCAAAATATTATGTACATGAGAACATATACTTTTACTTTGCCTTAATGATAGGTACAAATAAATGTCAGCTCTGCTTTGAATCGAATTGGCTTTGAGCAATAAGAGGGCAAGTCAATGAGTGTTTAGAAAAACATAGTAAAACACATTTTTTTTGATTGATTTATTTTTATTTCTCAACATAATCTCCTTTCAGCTCGATACACTTGATCTAATGAATCTTCAATTTTTTCAAGCCGTCCGAATAATATGATTTATTCAACCCTTCAAAATAAGCGTAATTTGTTTCGGCAATGAGCTGCTCTCTGTGGTGAATCTTTTTCCTCCGAACCATTTCTTCAGGTTTGGAAATAGGAAATAATCGCAGGGGGCGAATATATCTGGATGGAGAAGCAATTCATAGCATAATTTGGTGCCATCGATGCCGGGCGTATGAATCCGTGCATTGTCTTGATGGAAGAGCACTTTCTTCATCGCCAAATGGGGACGTTTTTCTTTAAAATGTTGTTGAAATGGTCCAATAAGACTGCATAATAATCGCCATTGGTTTGCTTTGATGGAAGGTAATCGATATGAATTATACCGCGTGCATTCCAAAAAAATATCTTTCCGACTTCACGATATTCGCCTTCTTCGGAGTTGGTTCACTCGGTAAAGTCCATTGTTTTGACTGTTCCTTCGTCTCGGATGTGAAGTAATGGATCCATGTTTCGTCCACAGTAATGAATCGACGCAGAAATTCATCTGGATTACGTTAAAACATCTCCAAACATTGTTTTGAAATCGTCACGGTCGCGCTTATGGTCCACAGTGAGCAATCGCGGCACCCATCTTGCCGATAGCTTTTTCATACTCAATCGTGCAAAATTGAAATTACTGTGCCATGTGATATGTCTGTGGCTTCAGCAAGTTTGCGCACCTTCACTCCTTGATCAGTCCAAACAATATCGTGGACTTTATCGATAATTTCTGGCATAGCAGCCTCAATTGGACGTCGCGAACGAGATGCATCACATGTGGCTGTACGACCACGTTTAAATTCATTCACTCAATTGTATACAGTCGCAAACGCTGGTGCAGATGTACTATGAACATTATCCAATTCGGCTTTGATTTCTTTCGGCATTAAACTTTTCATATGTAGATGTTTGATCACTGTACGAAACTTATTTTTTTCCATTTTGTAAAAAATACAAAGATTCGCTTTAATCATCTACAGAAACGAAACCACGCGATGAATTCCGCTTAAAATTTGATAGTAATCAGCTGAAAAATGCTATTTGTCAAAAAGTAATGTGACACTGCGAGTGTGCCCTCTGACAGATTTTCTAAGAACTTATTGACTTGCCCGTATATAGTCTTATTTTAAACTCGTGCTGATTGCTTTAATCCATAAATACTTTTACATAATAACATATCTTATCTTCTGTTCCATTCTTCTTGAAATTAGATATCTGATGCATGTAAATCTCATCTTTCGATGTACCGTTCAAAAAAGCAATTTTAACATCGAAATAGTAGACTAACATGTTCCTAATTATAGCAACGGAAAAGAAAACTCTGAATGTTGTCTGCTAGGCCAGCTTTATCTAGAGGATGGCTCGGTTATTACATTTATTTTTTCAATCAATCGTCTAGGTGAGATGCCTTCATTTGGTCTACTTGAATACCTCATTAGAGCTGATTGATTAATAATAATCATTAATTCTTCTTCTACGTTGTTTTCATTTTCTGAGATGTCTAAATTTTCATCTTGATTGTTTCTATCTACTTAGATATCTCGAACGGAAAGATTCGTTGGAAAGGTCGTTGGAAAGTGCAACTTTAGTATGAATTCTGAACATTGTAGTGTTGTACTGATTACTGTACTATTCTTTCGAAAGATGGCTTTTGATGATTAACGGATCATTATTTGAACCTGACTCTTCAATAAATTTTACATCTCTTGCAATAATGACCTTTCTGGTACGTAGATTCACTATATTTTTGATATCATACTATATTTTTGATATCAACCCTAAGCAAAATGCCGTTTAATGCTTCCGGATACAATTTTTTTCGATTTTCGTTAGAAATTTTAACGTAACAATCTGCGCCAAAACACGTTAAGTTTATATAAATTAGCTTTTTCGTGCCAGTACTAATCGAATGATGTTTTATTAATGCTTTTCCAAAGAAATCTATTTCGTACGAAATTTGCTATAATAACTGACTCTCCTCAGAAGTTAAAATTCATCAAATAATGTACAGCGAATCAATCAAAATTTTATTTTTTTCTCTCAGCTATTCCATTTTGCTACAGAAAATATTGGCTGCATATATTTTCTGTCTTAAGTATTTATTGAAGTAACGAAATGCAATGTTATATTTACCTTTTTATCACAGTATAGATTACTTAACCTATATATTGCGAAATCCCTTCAAAACCATATTTATCTTCTATACATATAGGAAAGGATAATAACGTTGTCCATCTTGAATATCTCTGTTATTTTTAGAGATAATTTTGTAATTATTAGGTGTTGGAATTAATTCGTAGCGTTTTTAATGAAAGAATGTTATTTATTTCACATGAGCATTAAAAAATACATTAATGAAAGTACTTCCCATCACTTGTAAAACGCTACGAATTAATTCCAACACCTAATACAATAGTTGTATGGCATCAAGAGGATCATAATATATGCTAATAATAATTTTTCTAGATAAAGGCGCTTCGGAAATTTCAATTTACTTAATTTTTTTAAATGACATGCTGTACTTTTTTAATCTTAGTGTAAGCGCAGTATAACCAGTAAGGACACTTTATATCGGCACCTTTGATCACCGCGTCGAGCATCTGTCATGTTAACATTTAAAAAATTCAGGGTCGAAAATAAAGAATATAGTGCCCTATAAGTAATAATGTAGTCACAATTAAAAAAATTTTACAAAAACATTAGACAATAAACAAAATTAATTCAAAAATAACAAAAACTAAGAATAAGTCAAGTATCAAACTTATTTAAACTAAATAAAAAAAATAATTATAAGTGAAACGTTTTTGTTAGTTAACTTTCGATATCTTTGAGATAACGAAAAAAAGTGCATTGTATAAGGCGTATGACTTTGCTTATACGGTTTTTTTCCGAAATTCTTTATTGTAAAAAACTGGTTATACATTTATGATTCAAAGTATTGTCCATCGCTGGCCACTACTTTTTCTCATCTTTCGGGCAGCATATGAATTCCGCGTTGAAAAAACAGGTCATCTTTTGAGGCGATCCACGAATCGATCCAATTTTTTACTTCTTCATAAAATCGGAAGTGCTGGTCAGCCAGATCGTGTGTCATTGATCGAAACAAGTGATAGTCAGAGGGAGCAACGTTCTGGAGAATACGGCGGGTGAGGTAGTACTTCCCATTTCAACGTTTCCAAGTATGTCTTGACCACTTTCGCAACATGGGGTCGAGCATTGTCATGCTGCAAAATCACTTTATCGTGTCTCTCGTTGTATTGCGACCGTTTGTCTTTCAATGCTCGGCTCAAACGCATCAATTGCGTTCGATACTGATCGCCTGCGATTGTTTCAGTCGGTTTTAACAGCTCATAATATACTACGCCGAGCTGGTCCCACCAAATACAGAGCGTGATCTTGGAGCCGTGAATATTCGGTTTGGCCGTCGATGTGGAAGCATGGCCGGGAACTCCCCATGATTTTCTGGGCTTGGGATTATCGTAATGAACCCATTTTTCATCCCCAGTCACAATGCGATGCAGAAAACCTTTCCGTCTTTGCCTTTCAAGCAGCTGTTCACAAGCCAACAAACGCCGTTCAACATCTCTCGGCTTCAACTCGTACGGCACCCAATTTCCTTGCTTCTGAATCATTCCCATGGCTTTGAGACGTTTTGAAATGGCTGATTGAGTCACTCCTAATGATCGTACCAATTCTTTTTGATTTTGACACGAGTCTTGTATCAAGTAATGCCTTCAATTCTGTATCTTCGAAAACCTTCTCTCTTCCACCGCTATGCTGATCTTCGACGTGAAAATCACCGTTCTTGAAGTGTTGAAACCACTTATGACACGTTCTTTCACTAATAGCGGCTTCACCATAAATATTTGAAAGCATTCGATGAGCCTCAGCCGCAGATTTCTTCATATTGAAGCAGAAAATTAAAACCTCCCGCAAATGACAAGAATTTGGCTCGTAAACTGACATTTTCAATCGAGAATAACTTTATGATGCAGACACAAATCGACTAATGTTTCTATTATGTTGGGATTATGTTGACAGATGTTCAAGTTTATTGTGTGACGTCTATGATCTATTTATTTCGATCACCACTTACCGCTAAAGCCATCTATACGAAAAACGAATAAGCAAAGTCATACACCTAATATATTTTTATTATTATTACCGCACTGGTTAATAATGCACGTAACATAACTTTTCTTTATTTTATCCATTTTTTAATAAATATTTAAAGCAGTTCCCACAAACTGTCTTCTTCTCTGTGTACATACATATGTACATTACTGTCATTTCATTGATTTCGGCCAAAACAAAAGCTACGCAGCCATATCTGCGCGAACCCGCATTTCTTCGCGGATATCCCTAGTAGTTATATTGTGGTAATAGCGAGTGCTTAGATGATTTCAACGACCTATAAAAGGTCATTCGTCACTAAATAAAAAAGTAAAACAATGATTCTTACGTCAAGAAGTGCTCGAAGTTTACATCAATGCAACACTGCAATCGTTGAATTTCTGAAGCACGTACACTTCTTAACATTTCCGGACTGATTGTTGTACATACTGCAATAATTCGTAGCTTCATGTTTTCCGATGTGATTGGCACATCCTGGTATCCTTGTATTCGCTATATTATAATAAAAAATATAAATATTTACATTTTGTACTATGAATTCTACAAGTAATAGAGAAATTTGTGGAACTTCGAGCTAGAACAAATTATTCTATAATAAATTTAGTATCGGTAGATCTTTCAGAAGGTGATCCCTTCATGTAATTTAGCTCTCCTGTGATTTTGGTGACAAGTTAATGTGAAAATGAAATTTTTATTTGCTTAACAAGTAGATATGTTCTTCATTTGGAGAAGCTCAGCAAAATTTAATAAGAGTGCAAGCATTGTTACGTCCGAGCGTTCGGTTCGCGGAGACGTTCTCGTGAATGCATTCACGCATTCCCAACCCGCAGAAATAAACAACACGAATATTGTAAAAAAGAACAAGAAGAGTTTATTATTAAATGAACACAGAACACACACACACACACATACACACACACGTAAAGCTCAGAGCACAGGATTGATAAGAAGATAAGCGGATCGAGAGACACGTTCGAACACAGCGTTGGCTCATGTCCAAATCTGACTTTCAGTATTTCATGAGTAACGATCTATACGGTCATCACACTGCCCTCTTTCCCATAAATTGTCATTCCGACAATTGTGGTTTTCCCAAAAACGTTGGTCTTCTTAAGGAATTCGGGGCTCCCGATCAGTTTCTTGCTCCCTACTGTGCTACTGCAGCAGCTTCCTAGAGCTCTGGTTTTACTAGGGCCCGATCCTCCGGCCTATCCTTGAGGCCTCTTAAATTTTTCTTCCTTCCGAATAGGATCTCTCTCTTCAGTTCCTCCCCGGAGGGTAGCTAAACCTCCGTAGGAGGAACCCACTTTGGCATCCTCTCGTCTTCATGAAGGGAACTGCAGAATCTTCTTGCCTCTTCTCTTGAAGTCTTGTGCTCTTGTACTTCCTTCTTCAAAAAGAGGGGAGGGGAGGAATTCCATTTTGGTTTTACGGCATTCGCCCTCCGTCCTACAGAAAAACCTCGTCCTTCAAAAACCGCAGGAGAGACAGTCTTCTTAAAAAAAATAATGTAAGGTCGCACGTTTGAAGCGCGTTCGATGATGACCTCCGACTTCTTCTACGAAGATGAGCTCACTAGATTGGCTGTGAGGCATTTAAAATGCACGACTTCTTTGCTGATGCCTCCGGGGAGATTTTTTTCGTTCAAAATCACGTCATTTGCCGCGTGACCATGAGGAAAGAAAAATAACTTGCGCAGCTTACACCATAAGATTACAAACGAACAAATTATCATGCGCAGCTTACACTATAAGATTACAAATTGTGTTATTCTTTTCGAGTGATAAGGCTCCGATTTGTTAATTTTTATTAGCTCGTTTTTCCTAAACGTCTTTCTAAATAAGGCGCCAGCCTATCTGAATGTACAATTTTATTTTTATGTTTATTCGATTTATGAATACAATATACGACGTTGCTTTCTTTACTATGTAATATGGGCCTTCCTAATTATTCTGCAACTTCTCTGTTTTCTTTTTTGAGAATTGTATAACCAAATTTTTTGTCTTTCCTTAAAATAAATTTATGTGGCCTTCCGATCGTACCAGGCTTTCGTTTATGAGGATTTGATATTTATCCGCTCTCTTATATTTGTACGAATCTCTTCGAACTTTCTCTTCACTTTTCCCACGTAGCCTTCGAGAGAATCAACCTCCTCAATTTCAGGGAGGCTGCCGCGTAACAAATCAATTGGCAGATAAAGTTCCTGAACAGAATACAGTTCTGCTGGAATCATCCCAGTTGTTTCGTGCTTGGCCATTCTTGTTTTCTTGATTCCTAACAAGCGTGATAGTTCTCGATAAATTCTCGATTCAAAATTCCTTCCTTGATCGGTATGAACCTCTAGAAAAATTCCGTATCTGAAAATAATTTAATTTGATTTAGAAAGATTTCTGTGATAGTTTAAGTTCTTATATTCTTTAGGGATAAAGCTATCACCCATTTAGTAAAACAATCAACAACAACAAGTAAATACTTATTTCTGGAAAAAGTTATTGGACCGAGGATATCCATCTGAATTCTTTCAAATGGAGCTCCTACGTCTGTAAAGGAGATTTTCTTTTTCCAGATGGATTCTAGCTAAGCAGACCTGACATGTTTTACACTCCTTCACATTTTGTTTACATGTTGCCCAATAAAATCGCTTCCGCACTTTATCGAGCATCTTGTTGATGCCAAAATGCTCTCCTGTGGGAGAGTTGTGTAGCTCCTCCAAAATCTGCATTACGAGCTTCCTAAGTACGATTAACTAGAGAACTCTTTTCTTTAGGAACCTCCCACCTCTTGTAGAGTATACCGTCTTTGACTTCAAGAGAATCCCAGTAAAACCAGTACACTTTGGAGACATCCTTCGCTGCTACCTCTTGTCATAAAGAGCGCTCTCCTCCTGCTTCTTTCTTAAAAAGAAACAGGTAAATGCAAGGATCTCCTATTTATTCTTTACGCCAATTCTTACGCGTAATTATCTAGGATAATTCTTCCCACAGCTTTCCTGTTTCGTGGCTTCCTTTAATTCTATTATACATTCGCACAATAACGACACTGATCATGCATGCATGGCCGCCTCGATAATCTATCCGCGTTCTTATGTTAAAAGATCTCTGCGATGAATAATTTCATATTGCTGAAGTCTTTCCATCTAACGCTAACTGGCCCTCAAAGTCTTTAAAAGACATTAGCCATTTGAATGAGACATGATCTGTACGTATCAAAAACTTTTGTCCATACAAATAGTGATGGAATGATTTTATTGATTGTACTGTAGCTAGATTCTCACGGCGCATCACACATTTTTTGGCTTTGTTTCGATTTCGAAGATTCGACTAAAATATGCCATCACTTTTTCTTTGCCGTTTTGTTTCTGTAACAGGATTGCTCCAATTCCTTGATTTGATGCATCAATGTCAAGAATATCCCTTTCTATTTTGGGAAATGCCAAAATCGGAGAGGCAGTCAAGGCCTGCTTTAATTCATCAAACGAATCTTAGTATTCTTCCTTCCAAACAAATCTTGTCTCGTTTTCCATTAACATATAAAGTGGTTTTGCTAAAGACGAAAATCCTTTCACAAATTTACGACAATTTATTACAAGAACAAAACTCGAGAAAACTTTTTAAATGTTTCTTGTTTTGTGGAATCAGCCAGTTTCTCATAGCAATTTTTTTTCCAAATCCGTACTAATGCCTCCTGCTGATATCACATAACCCAAATATTTAATTTTTTTGCTAAAAAAAGACATTTCTTAGGATTAAATTTTAAATTTACTTCTCTTGAAAATTTGTTTACAATTTAACAGCATTTTTTCAAAAGTTTTCCCAAAGATAATTACATCATCGAGGTAAACAAATTTTATAGAGATGTTCTTTTAAAATTTGTTCCATTACTCGTTCAAACGTTGCAGGAGCATTATACAGACCGAAAGGCATAACTTTAAATTGCCACAAACCATTACCGATCAAAAGGCTGTTATCTCCCTATCTTGCGGGCGAATTTTTATTTGCCAAGATCCGCTTTTTAAGTCTAAAGTAATAAACCGAATGTTATCTGATGACTGGTCGAGAATATCGTCAATGCGACGTAATGAGTAAGAATATTTTATAGTTACTGCATTTATTTTTCGAGAATTCACACAAAATCTCATAGTCCCATCTTTCTTTTTTACTAAAACCACTGACGCATGGATTAGTAGATTCCTCGATAATTCCATTCAATTAATTGATCTTTCATATTCTTAATAATTTCATTTACTTTCTTTCGCATTTTTAACGGAATACGTCAAAGAGATTGCTTTATGGGAGGAAAATCCTTTATCTTAATCACATGTCCGCCAACTTTACAATTTCCAAATAACTTTGTTAGAAAATACATCACGAAATTCATTCAAAAAAATAACAAAGCTTTCTTTTTCGAATTCATCTAAATATTGAGAATTTTCTTCGAATAGGGATGTCAAGTTCGACGGAATTGTTATAACGTTTTCAATGCGAGAACAATTGAATTCAACATTGCTCTCGGTAATTGAATTGAGAAAAGTAAAATCAAAAATTTTCTGTAAATCGAGCAATCTAAAAAAATTAATATCTAGAATGCAGTTATTGTTCGAGAGCGAGATAAAGCGAGAGCGATAGAACGAAAATCTGAGCGAGAAGACATTTGAACTACAGCTCGACTTACGCGAATCTTCGATTATAAGTCGAAAGCGGCGGTTTTCTGGCGGCAGAGCGTCACAGGCGATTGTACTTTTTGCGAAGTGGTGTCTTTGACCGAAAAAACGAAAAAGAAGGGATCACAGCTCGATTCGGCCTTTTATCCCTTTTGCAGCACAAAGGCTTTCTTTTTTAATCGCCTATGAGAATAATAGAAAATTATAAAAATTGAGGTGATCCCCACGATTCGGGTCGCGATTGGCAATTCTCGACCGCGACGGCCAAGCAGTACACTATTGCCATGCGCGCCCGTCAAATCAGGAATCCTGATTGGGGTGTCCGTATGTTACGCGTTTCGCGTCACGCGAGCGCGCGTGCGCTGTGACTACTCTGAATGTGATTGCCGTTTTAGCGGTTGGAATTTGTGTACGTATGACATGCGGGTTTGTTTTTTGGAACTTCTAGAAGCGTTTGAAATTGTTCCAAAAGCTTCCAATTTGCATGTCGCACGTACACCTGCGAAAGCTGATTTTTGGATGCATCTCAAACAGTTATCATTTATTTTGGCAATTAACATTGGGATTTTTACAAAATATTTCGCAAGTTGAGCCTTTACTAAAATTTTATATTTAATTATAATTTGTTCTCCCGTAGGATATTTAATATTGCAGTTATCCATTTTAATTTTTGATTTATCCGATTCAACAAAATTATTGTTTATAATAGAAACATCGGAGCCCGTATCAATTTTAATACAAGGTTTATCATTGTTTACTTCGCCTTTATAACAAAAATCTCTTAAATCATTTTTAATTCATTCTGAAAGAACATTTATTAATATATATAGTT